CCCCACTTCGCACTTAGACATCCACGTCTCCGCGGGCTCCCCTTGGTTGTGACAGTTAGCTGGAGTTTCCTTGTTTTGATGACCTTGACAGTTTTGAGGCATACCGTCAGAAATTTTGCAGGATGTCCCTCAATTGGGATTTGACTCATGGTTAGATGAAGGTTATGGATTTTCAGAAGACCTCAGACATAAAGTGCCATTTCCATTTCATCATATCAAGTGTCTAAATGATCAATGTCATTTACTACTGCTGGAGTTGACCTTGATCACTTGTCTGAGGTAGCATTGGTCAGGTTTCTCCACCATCCAGTTAATCCCCCTCCCTCCCATTTCCACCCCCTCCACTTTGGGAGGTGGTCGCTGTGCGTGGCCGTACTGAAGAGAGGGGAGTTACACTCAGTGTTCATACAATTAATGGGGCTCTTTTGAAAGGGAGATTTGCCTCTTCTTCCACACTTATTTAGTAAATCACATACAAGTATATATGACCACCTTGTATTAACTTTGCTTTCCACATTTCCTTCATGAAGCAATGACTATGCAGATAGAGAGAGCCTTAAACGTAAGGCTCTGTTGGACTGAGGTTCACGCAGACCTCATTCCATAGCACATTCCAGAAACTGGAGAACTGTTCATGCCTTTGTGTCTCTGGGATTCATTCTAAAGGGTCTTAGATTGCTCTTGAATTGACAATTTTTAACCATAAAAACTCCAAGTGGGACTCTAATGATGGCATTGAAGTAGCCTGAGGTCTGCTCCTTGGTCTTTACAGTCTCAGTGTTTCTGAGATTTATTTCCAATCTATTCTAGTAACGTCAGGCAGGCTAAGTGAGCTCAGAAAATTCCAGATATTTCACGCTTACTCTTATGATGGGTGCTCTTGCTTCAGGGGCCAGGTCTATATCTAGGAGTTCTCCAAATAAGCCTAGTTTTTAAAAATATGTAATAAAATGTAAAAAATTTGAAGTTTATATAAATATTATGAAAACAGTAGGAGCAGTACCGTTAAGAACAGAAGTCAGCAAACTGTGGCTCACAAAATTGGCTGCCTGGTTTTGTATAGCCAGTGAGCTCAGAATGAGTTTTCCATTTTAAATGGTTGGGGGAAAATAAAAAAACAAATAATATTCCGTATCGTGTGGAAATCACGTGACATTTGAACTGCCTATAAAGTCGGAGCGGAGCAAAGCCATGTCTGGTTGTTTACTGTCTGCGGCTCCTTCCGTGCAGTGACAGCAGAGTCGCTGCCCCAGAGACGGTGTGGCCTGAAGGATCTACAGCATCTACTGGGTGGCCTTCCACAGAATAGTCTGCTGGCTCCGGGCTCAGTGCTGACACCAGTGCAGCCTCCTTCCCCCCTTACCCACAGTGTCACTTCCTGAGGTTTCAGCTACCTGTGGTCAACCCCACTCTGAAAATGCAAATTCCAGAAAAAATGTGTTTTAAATCGCTCGCTGTTCCCAGTATGGGATGGAATCTCGGGCTGACCTGCTCAGTCCTGCCCCGCATGTGACTCTCCTCTGGTGCACGGCCGTCACGCTGTTGTGTTCCCTGCCCATTACCCGCTTAGCAGCTTCTGGGGATCAGGTTGATTGACTCTCGCAGAATCATAGTGCTCGTGTCCATGCAGCCCTGGCCCCACGCAGGGCCAGGCGGGAAGGAGCTCTCTTCTCTTTTTTTCCAACTTGGAAAATGGCCAGGAAGCCTCTGATTGGCAAGCAGGGTGGGGCTGAAGGTGGGTAGAAAGTCTGGAAAGGCAGTAAGTAGGTCCTTGGCCTTGACACAGGAAAGGAAATGTTCAGATGGTCTCCGAGTTCTTAAGTTGGGAAGTCCCTGTTTATTTCTTCGTATCCCACCTGTTTTCCTGTGATAGCCTGTCACCCCTCAGTCTCTCACTCTCGGTCTTCATTTTTTTCCTTATCTTTCCCAAACTTCTCATCCACAGCTTCCCCCCAGCCACCCCCCACCCCCTGCAACCATCTTCTCCCTTTTAGTCATCATTTGCCACTCATTCCGGGACAGGCGATTGATGAGAGCAGGGGCTTGATCACTCAGCACCTGGCATGTAGTGGGTGCTCCATACATTTTTGCAAACTGGAGTGACTGCCCTTTGGACCTTATAGTTGTCCCTTTTGTCCCAGGCCTCTCTGTTACTGGACAGGGAGGGGCTGCCCAGGGCCAGCTGGGGTGTGTGGATTCTTGACTTCATGTAGGAGAGATGTCACAACACGAGTCCAGGTGGCTGTGAGGGCACATTTATTACAGCTGGGGACAGTGAAGCACGGAAGGGCTCAGCATGGAGGAAGCGGCAGGAGAGCCCGGGCGGGGCTGCCTGAGCTCACTGGGAAGCCAGAGGGTCTCGGGGACGGGTTCAGGGGATCAGCCGGGGACAAGCTGCCAGCTGCCCACCGCCCAGAGTTTAGGAGACATGTACCTGTGAAGAAAGAAGTGAGGGAAGAGGCAGGGAAAGGAAATGGCACAGGCTGCTCCCAGAGGGAGAGTGTGGGTGCTGGGTCCTGTCTGTCTCTTGTGGGGGGCTGTGGGCGGGGAATCTTAGGGGAGGTCTCAGGGGAGGGTTTCATCATTTTTCCAGGTGCTCTTTCAGGTCATGGTCTCCAATGATTGGTCAGTGACAGGGAAGGGGGTCTTTGGTCACTGCAATTGGTCTGGCATCGCTCAGCTGGTTTTGCTGCTTTCCTGGGCCTGGGGCTGAAATATAACTGAGGCCTAGATGTTGTCTCCAGGGAGGTGACCATCTGCACGTGGCGGTAAATTGCTTGGCCAATTTCTTCGGCTATCTGTCTCAGTTTCCTATTCCCCTTGCCAAGGAATTTTCCTAGCTTCTTACTGTCCTGTCTCACCACCAGCCTAACCCCACAGTCTGACAAATCAGGTGTTAACTTATTGCACCAGGAACCCTGGGCAGTTTAGCTGGCAAAGGTAAAGAGTTTTCATAGAAATCTGTGGAAGAGTGAGGTGGCATGAAGCAGTGTTTTGACAGGCCCATGTATGAAGGGGCCACATTGGGTCTGGGATGCAGAGTGGACCCGGCCCCGTTCCCTTAGGAACCATTGAGTGGAGATAGCTGTGGGATGTTGTGTTCATGATTCTGCGCTCTGCACCTGGGCTGGAAATCTGGGCTCCTTTCTGACAAAGTGATTTACATACTCCTTGAGGGCGCTGAAAGTTTCATTTTTCCTGGAAATTTCAAACACCAAAGTTTCTGCTCATTTATAATTTTAGAGTTCAAAGTTCTTTTTGAGGAAAACAGCCATCACTTTAAAAGGGGGTCTGTTATAACACTACAGCTTCAGCGGGGTGCCCTCGAGAAATACTGTCCCTTTGCACTTTGCAGCTGGTCTTGTCTGCGTATGTCACTTTGGCCTGATGAATGGCCCAGGCCCAGGGTACACTGTGATCCTCTCCCAGTCTATGGGGAGGAAGAGTCTTTGTGTTTAGTGTGAGGGATGGGTTGGAGGAGGCAAAGCGGTCAGGAAGGAGGCTGTTCCTTTAGGTCTAGCCTGGACCTATAGAGAGAAGTGGGTAGGAGCGTAGGAGCGAGTAGGAGAAGCGCAGGACAGATCTTAGATGTAAGAAAAAATTATTAAGTAATGGAACGTGGGGAGAGAGGGAGGAGGAGGCATTGAAGGTGGAGACCTGCGCTAAGGAAGAAGGTAAACAGATGAAGCAGTTTGAGGGAAGAGGCTGCCTTTGGGCTCAGCTGGGCTGAACTCGTCATGCCGCCTCATACAGATGTCTGATAAATATCTGGACATACCTGTCAGAGTGCAGGCTGTAAGGCCAGCTGGACCTACATTTGGGGGCCAGCACAACAGAGTGGTGAGAATTGAAGTCAGGAGGAAGGATGTTACCTCAGGGAGAGTGTGGGGTGAGAAGGGGAGATGGCCGTAGGGAGCAGCATGAGGAAATTCAGCAGAGCAGAAGCCAAAAAAGATTTGAAAATTACAAGGAGAGAGGAGGAAGGAAGCCAGGAGGTGAGAGATCTAGAGGTCCATCAAGGAAAGCTTTAATAGTGAGGCAGGAATGAAAACTGGGAATCACTGAGTAGCAGGACAAAGTACCCCTTGGACTTAGTGACAGGGTCCCTCGGGCCAGGTTTCAGTGGTTTGGGGACTGAGTGGAAGGTGAAGAAATGAGGACAACAGTCGAGACATTTTGGAGTGAAGGTGGGATGGGTATTAGCTGGAGAAGGGCATGGAGGTCAAGAGAAGTTTAGCAAGACTGGAGAGACTAGAGCACATTTAAAGGCTGCTTAGAAAGGACTGGTAGGAAAGAATACGGGAAGGACTTGGTTACTGGGGGGAGGTAAGGGTGTGCTGCGGAGCAGAGGTCACAGGAGGAGAGGAACCCAAGCCCTGGTGAGGAGTTTGTACTCTGTTCAGGTTGGGAGGGCGCTCCTGGCTGAGACCGAATGGTGAGGAGTGAGGAGCGTCAGAGGAGAGTTTCCTGGGTCTTAGTCCACGGGAGCCTAAGTAGTGGAGTGTCCCGCAGCTGGGTAACCAGCTTCTTTTTTCTCTAGCCATGCCTCCATTTGGGCCCACTTTCCCTCTCGGGTTATCTTCACCCCCAGGTACAGCCGGTTTCCCATATACACCCCATCCCCTGCCACACCTCTTCCCAGCCACAGCCCAGCTCCTGTTCCGTACTCCTGCCCAGACACCTGACCCCTCCCCGGGCCAGCCTCCTCGACTTCTCCTCATAATCACCAGCTTCTCGCTTTCCCAGACTGCGTTTCCAGCCCCTTCCCCAGCTCCTACTCCAGCTGTCCCAGAATCATTCCCTCCCCTCCCACCCGCAGCTTCTGCCTGCAGCTACCAAAGTGCAACACTGCCTGCTGGCCCCACCTACATCTCCGGCCCCGCCCAGCCCCTGGCCCCGCCCCCACCCACCAAGGCCAGCTCACTCCCCATGAGGTGAGTTGCCATTGGCTGACTCCTGCACAGGACTCCGCCCCATCAACCTCCACTTCTGCGATTGCGGCAGATAGACGCCTGTCAGCGCTCTCCCCTGGCAACGGGGCTGGTCGCTCCGGGGAAAAATCCTTGGACAGCCCAACCGGAAATCAGAAAGCGAATCCAGTTGGTGAAGCTGGAAAGGTGAGTCCAGTTTAGTGATGATGGGAGGCAAATGTGGCTTGGAAGCGGGTGTGGGTTTCAGGGGCAATGGCCCTGGTCCTGGAGCAAAGGTGCCCGGAGTCCAGGGCTCTGGACCTCCCTGGCCACCCATGTCTCCCGCCCCTAGATGAGGGAAGGTTGGGTGGTGGGGTGGGACAACTTCGAAGAATGGAGGGTCTTTCCGTGTGGTCAGTCAGGGCAAAAATCACCTTGTATCTCCAGCCTTTCATGTGCTGGAGACAAAAGGGCCCAGCAGGTGCATCCCAGGGTCGAGGTCCGCTGTCCAGAAGGGGGAAGGAAGAGCAATAAAACTGGTAAAGACGTGGGAGGGATGGGTGCTTCTGCGGGAGGAGGAGTCAGGGGGGTTATGGTGCAATGTGCATGGGGCGGGACGGGGGAAGAGGGACCTTCCTTCTTGTATTCTGATCACACCGACTAGCTTTTCCCCGGGTTTAGTTGAGTCTGATCACCAAATGCAGTGCTAGATGGGAGAGGAGCAGGGAGCACTCCTAGGCTCGCACCTCTGCAGGTGACTCAGTGGGGCTCTCTGGGGGCAGGAAGCCAGCCCCTGGGAGGCCAGGTCACCTTTTCACCAGCGGGGACACTGCTGTCTGAAGGCTGGCTCCGGCTCAAGCTGCCCTTTTGCAGAATGGCTGCCGGTTCTGGGACATAAGCAGGGCTTGGAATGCGTCTGTCCAGATGAGGCAGTTGAACTCTCCCCAGAAAGGGGGTCCTGAGAGCCAGTCACCACTCTCAGGACAGTGGCCCCTTGGAGGTTGGGAGGTTGACAAGCCAGGGTGGAGAGCACCGCCAAACAGGAGCCAGCTGGAGAGGGTCTGAGAAGGGTTGACTGAATATCTTATCATGCCCGTTCAGCAGAAAAGGGCTCCTGGCTCCCCGCACCCATCACTGAGGGACTTTGCTCCTTCCAAGCTGGGCTGTTTTTCTCATTCCAAGGCAGAAACTCAACTTTTCCTTCATCTGTTTCTGTCTCTGGCTCCAGAAAGCAGAAAGCAGTATCCTATGTTATTACCTCATTAAATTCTTTCACCTCACTATAGGGTTAGTGGCACTTCCTTTATTTTACTAAAGTTCGAAAGGGTTTAGTAACTTGCCCCAGTCATAAAACCAGGAAGAGTCAGAACCTGAACTCAGATTTGCCCCTCTTTGCTTATACCATAACTTCAGAGCCTGGGGCCCCTGTGCGGAGAGGCGAGTGTTCTGGATCTGATTCGGTGCAGTTTAGTGTGGGCTCCCCTACTCTGCCCCAAGGCCCCACCTCCTTGGAAGCCAGGGTTTCTCACCCTCTGCCCTACTGACATTTGGGGCCAGGTAATTTTTTGTGGTGGGGGATCCTCCTGTGCACTGTAGGATATTTAGCAGCACCCCTAGTTTCTACCCACTGGAGGCCAGCAGCGACCCCTTCTGCAGTTTTGACAACCAAAAATCATTGCCAAATGTCCCCTGGAGGACAAAACTGCCTCCAGTTGAGACCTATTGGCATGAGCAGTCTTAGAGTAATGTAGAGGTGTATCCTTCTGAAAGAGAACCTGGTATAAGTAACCTACAGAAGACTCAGGCCAGCGGAAGGTGGTTGTATGCTCAACTTGCCAGGAAAAAGTCTGTCCTGCATTGTGAGGTGTACCTGGGCCCGGCTCAGGAGGAAGCCATTGCTAGGAAATGAAAGAAAGCTCAGGAAATTGCACTTGGGGGAGGAATAAGATGCACTGAAGGCCTTGTGTCCTTTGCAAAGTTGATAAAAGAGATTTCTGGCATGGTTAAAGCAGTCAAGGCTGGGATGAAAGAACCGGGCGACTTTGTACCATTGCCAATTCTTCATCTGGCCATGCAGAAGCTCTTTAAAAGGAAGAGGGGCTGTCCTTGGAGCTGTTTTGAGATGCATCCCTTCCCCAGTGCCCTGCAGACTAAGGATGGTGGGGCGGGGGTGGGGGCCTGTTGTTAGAGGCCGCCCCTCTTCCCACAGGCCCGAAGCTCCTACTTGAGGCTACTGCACACCCTTCTCCCTCCTACTAGAAAAACTGGAGTAACCTCTGGGCCTTTCCTGGTGTCTCCTCTTGTCCCTGCCCAGTGCTCACCCCCACGTGATTGTCTGCACCTCTCCTGTGCGTTTCTGCCCAGCTTGGCTGCTCGCCCAGCTCGCTCCTTCTCTCAGCGTCTGGGTACTGGGAAGCCTGGCCGGGCTGTTCCATACGGATTTGTTTTCAGTCAACAGTGGAGGAACCAATTTCCAGTGGGACAGAGGAGGAGGAGGGGTGGGCTGGAAGAGGGGCTGATGAGAACCCCCTTGCTCTGCAGCCCCTCTGGTACCCTCCCCACACCAGACCCTGCCTCACTGATCTTCGTGTTCACCCCACACCTTTGTGTGCACTGACCCCACTTCCCAGGTGAACCTCCTGTGGGTGCCTGGAGACCCAGCCAGAACATGTCTTGACTCCTGCGTTCTTCTCACCCTGAACCACACTGATCCCTGCAGCACTTGTCTGTCTCTGTGAAGCAGGGTGCTCCTGCATGTCCAGGCCTGCCTGGAGCTTCCCCCTGTCACCTGCTATCTCTGATGGGCCTGGCCCAGGAGTTGCTGGGCTGTTTATTGAAAGAATAGAAGCATGTGCTGATATCAGGAAGTGTCCTGTGGGAGGTGCCCCTGAGTAGCACAACCCCTGGGGGCACCAATCCCACAGTCATGGAACATGTGGAGACTTCCAAGCAATGGCACTGAGATGTTGGCTACCTTTTAGCCCCAGTCAGTAGGGCAGAGGGTGAAAAACTCCTTAACAAGGCTGGTGTCCCCTAGGAGAGCAAATCATCGGTTTTGAGCAGGGAGGAAGCTTTCTCAGGATCCTGGGAATCTGAGGCGAGAAATTTAGGTGTCTTCGTCTTTTTTAAGGAGAAGTTGGAGGTGGTGGTGTCTTGGATCTCACTCTTGCTGGTGGCTTCTGGCCTTGTGTCCTTTGGGCTGGGGTGAATAGCTGCTCTGTATGTGCTGAGTTCCTGCCATGGCCTAGGCCTGGTGGGCTGTGGGCTACAGAAGTGAGGCATCCTGGAGCCATCCCACTGTGAGTGGTAGAGGGAGAGGCACTGGTCCAAAGAGCCCAAGTACTGTGGGCCCAAGGCAGTGAATCCCATAGGAGCCGGACATGGGGTGCTCAGGCCTTCTCAGGACCTGGGTCAGAGCAGCCACCCGGGACTTACCCATGGGAGCCCATAAGGTGGTGGGAAAAGGGGTTGGTCTGCCTGAGAGACCAGCAAGGAACGACACAGCCATTGGACAGGCACTCCTCCATGCCTGTGTGCATGCCAGGTTGGCTTAGGGGCTGGGCAGGTGGCTGTGGGCAGTCTCTTTTGTGACTTTCAAATTCTGGCCAACCACTTAGGCACGGACCTGAGTCCTGGGGTGGAAGATGGGGAGCAAGCAGAGTGCACAAGGATGAGTCTGTCTCCATTTTGGTGAAAGCAATAGTCAGTTCTGGGAAAATCACAAGTGCTGGGTGGCCTTGGAACCCGAAGGCTGGGTTTGATGGTGAGGCGTACAAGGTGGCCAGTGAGGGCCCGCTGAGCCAGACGAGGGGCAGAAAGGAACTGCCCAGCGGGAAAGGCATCTGATTCCCCGAGGGGACTACACGCAGCCTGGGAGCCTGCCTGGGGTGGGCACAGCCTCGCGAGTTTGGCTTTGATGTGAAGCTCTGCTAACCTCTCAAAAAACCTTTTCCTCCCAGGTGCTGGGAAGATTTCATCTCTTCCGGTGTTTAGGTAAGTCTTGGGCCTTCTCATGTCACAACCTTAAGGTGTTTGACAGCAAGTGAAAAAGTATGATCGTTGGTGTGAAAACTCCATCTAAGAATGGAACGAATTCACTAGGGTGCATTTTCATCCATTTACCTTCTCAGGGTTTCAGCAGGATAGCAAGATAGGACAAATTTTCTGCTGACCTGATAAATTAACACAGATTTTGAGTGACTTGAATTTCCCCGGTGAGTGTGTGTGTATGTGTGTGTGTGTGAGAGAGAGAGAGAGAGAAAGTGTGTGTGGTGGGGAGTATGAACCTAGAACCTAGAAGCACTTTGGACTAATGCCGCCATGGTTTGCCAGTGATAGACACTGCATAGACAAAGGTAAGACCACTGAGCAAGCTCCCCAAGGAAACCCCGCCCCTGTTCCGTTCCTGGTAAACATGAGCAGGGCAGTGTCCTTCCTCATGATACCTCTAGCCCCTTTCTGTTCTTCCTGCATCTTTGTGAAACATTATTGAGACACCCAGTCTCTGACTCGCAGCCAACCTGGACTTCACCCTCCCTGCTGGAACCCTGCCAAGGAGGCAGCCCCCCATGCTTCCCCACTGCAGCAACTTGGACCACACAGGCTCTCACTCATCTTCAGCCAGTGGGTGTGGACATATTTTCCATTCTGATTTCTCCTGGGCATGGCCTTGGGATGCTCCGTAACACATGCTGCATGTGGGGTGTAGGAAATTAACTGCAGAATTTGTACTGTTAATGCCCTCTTTCTCCCTTTGCTTTGCGCACTCTCCTTCTCTTTGCTGTATTTAAAAAGCAAATGATGCTGTCTCACCTCCCAGTCCAGTCCTAAATGATCAGGTTGTTTCTTGGGGCTCTTCGCAGATTGACAGAAGGGGACAGGTCTGCTTTGGCATAGCCGTTTGGATTGTACCCCTGGTGGGGACCAGGAGCCAGCTGGTGCTGCCCACTCACTGTGTGTTAGAGATGAGGAGAGCCTCATGCAGGCTGGATCTTGAGCCCAGGCCTGAGGTTTCCTTCTTGGCTCTTCGGCTGTGAGAAACCTGAGCCGTGGAAGCATTTAGATCAGATGGCCCATGAGTGACAGCCCTAAACTAGGGTGCACAAGCCCTCATTTCCAGCCAGCCTTTGTGAGTGCACCACAGTCCCTCTCCAAGGAGCCTTCTGCTGGAACCTTCCTGTTGCAGGGCAGATGGTCTCCCTGCCAGGATGGCAGAGATAAAAAAGATGGAAAAAATAACAAGAAAGCTGGAGAGGGTATAGTGAAATTGGAACACATGTGCTTTGCTGCTGGGAATGGAAAGTGGAAAATGGTTTGGTGCTTCTTCAAAAGTTCAAAACCAAATGTGGCATCATCACTCACTGGAATATTACTCAGCCACGAACAGGAATGATGTGCTGACACCACTGTACCATGGATGAGCCTTGAAAACATTCTGCTGAGTGAAATAGACCAGTCCCAAAAGACCACATAGGTATGACTCCATTTACATGAGAAGTCCAGCACAGGCAGACCTCACAGAGAGGGCACATTGGTGGCTGCCAGGGGCGGGGTGGGGATGGGGAGTGACTAGTGATAGTTATAGGGTTTCTTTTGGACGTGAAGGAAATGTTTTGAAGCTCCGTAGAGGTGGTGTTTGCACAAGACTGGGAATGTACTAGATGCACTGAATTCTGTCCTTTAAAACGGTGAATTTTATGTTAGGTGAATCTCACCTCAATAAAAAGAAAGGAAAGATCCCAGCGGTACCCACTTCCCCTTGAGGTTTTGCACAGCCAGGACTCGATGGGCCTGTCATTCACTCTCCGTGCCCTCGGAGGTGGCCTGGACCTCCCTCACTGTCCCGTGGGAGCCTGTTGACCCTTGGGTGGACTTAGTTTGTGGGGTACTTGTCTCTCCAGCAGTTCTACCAATGCCAGTTTCCAGATTCAGTTTTAAGAGGAGAATTAAGGAGTCACAGCACTTGCCTCTTAAAAGATTTGTTTCACCTGAATGTGCTTTTCTCTTTTGAACCCACGGATTTGTTGGTGGTTGACCCCTTTCTGTAATGAGATTTGTGACAATGAACGAAGGTCACAAAGGTCACCAGTGGTCACCTGCCTTTGGGTACTAGTCACTGCAAACCTTCCTGAGCTCAGTGTCTGGATAATTCATCGTGTTATCACAACAATCTCTGGGGTAGGGTTGTACTTACTGCCATTTTAGAAATGCGGAAATGGAGGCCCCGAGTTTCTGTGGCCCGCCCACGCCCACACAGCTAGCAGGAGGCAGAGCCATGATCACAGAGGAAAACTTGTCAGATGGCACGTTCCCTTTGTCCATGTATTTTCTTTTAAAAAAATTTTACATTTCCTCTTAGTGTGAGTGACATTAAGCATTATTTCTAAGGTACTTTTTTAAAAAAGATTTTAATTTCCTGGGGAGAGGGGACAGGAAAGGGAAAAGAGAGGAAGAGAAACATCCATGTGTGGTTGCCTCTTGCATGCGCCCTACTGGGGACCTGGCCTGCAACCCAGGCATGTGCCCTGACTGGGAATCAAACTGGCAACGCTTTGGTTTGCAGGCTGGCACTCAATCCACTGAGCCACACCAGCCAGGGCTGTCTGTGATATTTTCAAAGATGTTGATTTTATTCAAATACATGTGATCATCCAGGCAACATTATTTTCAACTCAGGTTTTTTAAAAAATGAATATTTAGATTAAAATGCTGGGGTTTTCACTTCCGCCAAGATGGAGGCATAGGTGGAGACACCATGCTTTCTCGCACAACCAAGTTTAGAGACAACAAAATATTAGCAACAGAAAACACAGCCAGAACACAGAAAATTGAACTTTTCGGAAGTCTGATAACAACAAATTCTTCAGCCTGACGGGTAAGAAGGGTGAAGCCAGCAGCTGATGGAGCAGGGTTGCAAAGGAAAACTCGGTCAGACAGACTCAGGCACGTGGATCCCAGGCATGGGGTTGCAATGGGTGGACCCAGTGAGCGACTCAGTGAGCGACCGGCAGACCCAGCGAGGGCGCGGGGCGGCAGGTTGACTGTGGTCCCGCATTCCTGTGCAGATAGACCAGCGAGGGAGTGGGCAGTGAGACGAGACCGAGCAGGCCCCAGCGGCGAGAGGCAGCAGAGGGGACCGCCATTTCCCCGCTGTGACCCCGCCCCCACATACAGTGTCACAACCCAGTGACCTGGGTGGCCCCGCCCTGGTGAACATCTAAGGCTCCGCTCCTCATACATAACAGGCATGAACAGATCAAAACATGGCTCAAGAACAACTCAGAGCCCCAGACCCCATAAATCTAAGCAACGAAGAAATAGCAAAACTTTCAGAGGCACAGTTCAAAACACTGGTGATCAGGATGCTCACAGAACTGGTGGATTTTAGTCACAAATTAGAGGAACATATGAAGGCTAAACTAATTGAAATGAAGGGAATTGTACAGGAAACCAATAGTGATGAAAAGGAAACTGGGACTCAAATCAAGGGAGTGAACCAGAAGGAAGAAAAAAATGACCAAACAGGAAAATATGAAGAAACAAGAATTCAGAAAAATGAGGAGAGACTTAGGAACCTCCAGGACATCTTTAAACGCTCCAACATCCGAATTATAGGGGTACCAGAAGGGGGAAAGGAACAGCCACCAGTGGAAAACTTATTTGAACAAATAAAGGAGAAGTTCCCCAATCTAGCAAAGGCAATAGACTTCTAGGAAATCCAGGAAGCTCAGAGAGTCCCAAAGAAGTTGGACCCAAGAAGAAACACACCAAAGCACACCATTATTATATTAGCCAAGATTAAAATGAAGGAGAGAATCCTAGAAGTAGCAAGAGATAAGGGGACAGTCACCTACAAAGGAGTTCCCATCAGATTGTCAGCGGATTTCTCAAAAGAGACCTTACAGGCAAGAAGAGGCTGGAAAGAGGTATTTCAAGTCATGAAATCCAAAGACCTACATCCAAGATTGATCTATCCAGCAAAGCTTTCATTTAGAATGGAAGGGCAGATAAAGTGCTTCTCAGATAAGGTCAAATTCAAGGAGTTCATCATCGCCAAGCCCTTATTATATGAAATGTTAAAGGGACTTACCTAAGAAAAAGAAGATACAAAATATGAACAGTGAAAGGACAGCAAACTCACAGTTATTGAGAACCACAGCTAAAACAAAAGCAAACTAAGAGGATAGCTAAATTAGGAGCAGAACCATAGAAATGAAGATCACTGGAGGGTTAGCAACAGGGGAGTAGGAGGAGGAGAAGGGGAGATAAGGTGCAGAAAATAAGTAGCATAGATGGTAGGTAGAAAATAGATAGGGGAGGCAAGAATAGTATGGGAAATATAGAATCTAAAGAACTTGAGACACGTGGTCATAAACTAAAGGGGGGGAATGGTGGGGGTGGGGAGGTGCAGGGTGGAGGAGAATGAAGGGGGGAATAGAATAACTGTAATGGCATAATCAATAAAAAAGTGAAAAAAATAAATAAAATGCTGGGTTTTTTTCTACCTTTTAATTATATTAGCCTGGGAACTGTGCTTTCAAAGAGAGACATCTAAACTGTTTGGCAGTTATGAGCGTGTTTCTCAGAGGTCACGCAAGTTGGGTCCAGGTCGTCACACTCGCTTTTCTCAGCTGTTAAGTCCCACCATGTTGAAGCAACATCACGTAGCTCTGGTGTATTTGAACCCCATTTTGCAGCTAAGTATTTATTAACTTGATCGTATAATTACCAGTGTGTTTCCCATGGTGATGACATTTTGATTTTTCTCTCTCCTTGCTGCCTTTTGCTTCTGCAGAGAGCCGTGCCAGACACAGGAAGGATGGGGAACAGCGAGAGCCACTCCGGGCGGCCCGTTTGTTTGCATTTTTTCCCGCAGGAGCAGGCCGAGGTGGACAGACTGTTTGATGCTCTGTCAGAGAAAAGCGACTCAAGTACCTCGCCCAGATCCTTCTCCCTGAAGGCCCTGAAGGCAAGTGCATGGTCATCATCGGTTAATGTTTAGTCTGGAGTCTGTAAACTACGGCCCACAGGCCCAAACCGGCTCTCTAGTTCTGTAAGACTCAACTTTAAAAAGCTGGTTTTCTGTAGAGAGCCAGACAGTATGGACTTCCACCTCTGCAGGACACTGTGGCCTCGGTCACGGTGACACTGCTCTGCCTTCACACCAGGCTTCTGACTTGAGATGGGACAGAGGGCTGGCCCTGCTTCCCACCCCTGACTGTCATCTCCCGACTTCCTGGTGACAGACCAGGATTCGTAGGTCCAGTAACCTCGAAGTTCAAGTGTCCCTTTGCCTTTAGGATTTGTAGGCGATCGATGTCCTAGGAATCTTATGATGCTCCTAACAAAATAATGTTTCAGAGTCAAGGTTCCCCTGACAAGGAGTTAAAACTTCCCGTTTCCCCAACTTTTTGTCCTGTTCCATGGGGCTTTAACTGCTTGTCCTGAGGGCTCAGGCTGAGGCGAGACCCTGGCAAAGAGACAACGCCAGCCCAGCTCCCTGGGCCGCGGGAAGGGAGGCAACGTGGAGGGCATTTCAGTGCCTCCTCTTCTGGGACACGTGGAATAGGAGCTGATGGGCACTGGGGGCCCCCCAGCATACTCACTATGGGTGAGCGGCCGGCCAGGGAGGTTATGTGGGTTACAGCAGTGTGGTATATGTACGTGTGCACAGGTATCTCCACTAGAGCAGAGCCACCCGTCTGCCTGGTCCCCCAGCATGCTGGGGCAGACAGACCCAGCCCGGCCAGTTAAGGGCTTGACTGCAGAGTCGGTGGCAGTGTAAGTGTTTATCGAGAGAAATATGGGTAAAATTGATCAGAGAATCTTGGTGAGTGTATAAAGTTTCCTGTGAGATGGAATTTACGATTGCTTTCCTGGTAGAATTTGAAAACACCGACAGAACTAGAGATATTCTTTCTGAGTAATTAGGTGAGACGCGGCTTCACAAAATCTTGGAATACCGACGTGTCTCGAACAGTGTAGGTAGAGCTCTTACCGGAGAATCCAGTTTGCAGACCCTGCTATGATGGAAGTTCGTGATTTGCTGTCTCTTACCGTTTATGTTTAATCCCTGGACCAAATCTGATCTGATGTTGGTCAAAAGGAAAGCAGTATTTACAGGATGTAATTGGAAAGACATTAAGAACTAGATTTTAAATTGAAATAAAAATTAATTAAAAGTGCCTATGGAGCACAAAGAACTGAGATAAGAAATGAAAGCTGGCTAATATAGTTGGAAGTCTGCAGTGTAGAGGAGACCAGTTTAGCTATAAATAGACATCTGCACTGTCTGTTCCTACACTCAGACATGCAGATGGCCGCTGTCAGTGCAGGATGAAGGAGATGCTCTAAGTAGAGCGAGAGGGCCGGTGCTGGCCACAGGCGGGAGTGACATGGCCGACCTGGGGAGACTGGAAAGTTTGGAGATATGGGAACAGATTGTGGAAGAATCTGGTGGCCAAGATGAGCCATTGGCCAGGTCATGTTATGTATGTGGTATGGTGTGGTGCCTTGGAGGGGGAGAGGGTACAGGTGAGGCTTTGGGAAGGCAGCGTCCTGGTGTGGCAGTGGTTGGCCTTGGTCTCCTTGTCACCATGTTTAACTTGTACCCTGTCTTGCCTTTTCTCCTGCTTGTCCTCCACAGAGCCACATTGGGGAAGCTCTTCCCCCAGAGATGGTCGTCAGACTGTACGATGGCATGCGGAGGGTTGACATGACAGGAAAGGCCAAGGGGCCCAGCGGGAGTGTCTCCCAGGAGCAGTTCACAGTGTCGATGTCCTACCTGCTGAAGGGGAACTCCAAGGAGAAGAGTCTCATGATCCTGAAAATGGTTTCTGCCACAGGTGGTCCTGTGAAAGCAGGAGAAGTCCAAAAGGTAGAAAGGCCACGAGGACTACTGCAGCCATCCCGAGTGGTCTCTGTGTTCTTGGGTGGGGGACTCAGGATGGAGGCATCATAGAGCTGTCTACCTCTGGGGAACTCAGATCCCCTAACTGGTGGAGGTCAGAACTCCTGGACAAAGGCCTTGGCAAAACCAGACTAGCCATGGGTGTCATTAGAAAAATGAGTAACTACCTAAGTTCCATTATCTTTTCCCATAGAGGGCCATTGTAGTTGACATTCAAGAGGTAAAATGCTCTTCCCCTTCTTGATATGACATAGGTCACTGTTCATGGCTGAAAGGTCATTAATAGTAAAATTGTAATCTTTAAGTTTACAGAGGATCTCGTTGGCTCTGTAGTGCACGTGCTAACCCACAGACAGGAGCTGAGAGGCTGGACTCAGAAGAAAGCCCCAGGCCCCCCGCCCAGGGTGCAGGTCCTGGCTGCTCAGCTGGTCTCCGAGATGAAGCTTGCAGGCAAGTGCCCTGCGTGTGTGCCATCGTGCTGAGCCCTTGGTGGTGGCGTACAGTGGCCCCACACTGCCCCGACTGCTGTGGCCTTGCAGCAAAGTGCTGAAATCTGAAAGCGCGAGTCTTCCTCCTTGGGGAGACTGTTTCGATTGTCTAATTTGGTTTGACTGCTCATAGTATTTCCTTATAATCCTTATTCTTTAAGGTCAGTGGTGATGTCCCCACATTTACTGCTGATTTTAGTCATTTGAGTCTCCTCTTTCTTTCTTGGTCAGTCTAGCTAAGTGTTTGCCTATATTTTGTTGATATTTTCAAAGGGTCAACTTTTGGTTTTGTGGGTTTTCTCTGTTGTTTGTCTAGTCTGTATTTCATTTACTTTTACCCAAGACTTCTATTTCCTTCCTCCTGCTTCCTTTAGGTTATTTTGGTTGTCTCTCTAGTTTTTTAATTTTTTTAACGATTTTTAAAATTTATTTTGAGAGAGAGGGGAAAGGGATGAGAAAGAGAGATACATCCATCAGTTGCCTCTCTCACACACACCCCTCTGGGGACCTGGCTGGCACCCTGGGCATGTGCCCTGGCTGGGGATCAAACCAGTGACCCTTTGGTTCACAGGCTGGCACTCAATCCACTGAGCTACACTAGCCAGGGCATCTTTCTAGTTTTTTAAGCTGGAAGGTAAAGATAGTGATTTAAAATTTTTTCTTTTTTAACATAGGCTTTTTTTTTAATATTCTTTTTTTTAAGGTTTTATTTATTTATCTTTAGAGGGGAAGGGAAGGAGAGAGGGAGAGAAATATCAATGTATGGTTGCCTCTCATGCGTCCCCTGCTGGGAACTGGCCTGCAACCCAGGCATGTGCCCTGACTGGGGATCGAACCGCGATCTTTTGGTTCGCAGGCCCGTGCTCAATCCACTGAGCTATACCAGCCCCGGAGGGAAGCTATACAAATTTCCCTCTAAACACTGCTCCATTGCTTCCTGTAAGTTTGTATATTGTGTTTTTGTTTTTACTCATTCTCAATATTTTCTAGCTTCTCTTATGATTTCTACTTGGTCTGTTTGCCATGTAGTTGTTTGTCATTCAATTTCTGCACGTTTGTGTGTATCCCAAATTGCCTTCTGTTACTGGTTGATAAGTTTATTGTTTTGTAGTTGAAGAACATATGTTATATAATTTCAGTCTTTTTAAATTTATTGAGTCATGTTTTATGATCTGACATGCTGTTCTGGAGATTGTTTTATGTACACTTGAGAAAAATGTGAATTCTGTTATTGTTGAGTGAGAAACAGTATATGTTTAAATTTTTTAAAAATATATTTTATTTATTTTTAGAGAGAGGGGAAGGGAAGGAGAAAGAGAGGCAGAGAAACATCAATGTGTGGTTGCCTCTTGCACGCCCCCTACTGGGGACCTGGCCTGCAGCCCTGGGCATGTGCCCTGACTGGGAATTGAACTGGCGACCCTTTGCATCACAGGCCCGCCCTCAATCCACTGAGCTACACCAGCCAGGGATAAATTTACTTGGGATTTAAAATACCTTCTGGGGCATCTCTGTGCAAAGTAGACTTGTTTTATACAAGTGCTACTGTTTTATTATAAAGCTGGATTTTTAAATGCAATTTGAAAATGGGTTATATTTTAGAACTTCATTGAAGCGAGGTATTTGGAACTTGGGAAGAACAACATGATGTGTATGAAGTGCTACTAGTTTGTCTCCTGGTGTGGCCGGTGTATCACCCCCGCTCTTAGTGGGTAAGAGACAGAACAGGATGGCAGATGGTGCCTCGAAACTGCTGCGCACAATTGTAGTTAATGAAACCTGCTCTTCCTGGTAAACTGGAGGGGCGCCAGGTAAGTTAGCAGCCACTGCCTCTCCATCCTTTGCAGATGGCTTTGCTGGGGCCAAAGCCCTGGACCAGTGGCTTTGGTGCAGCGTTCTTGGAGCTGTTGCTGAGAGTTCTGGGGCTCGCTGAGGGTGTGGCTGTCTGTCCTGGGCCTCTGAAAAGGCCTGTGCTGGGAGGGGAAAAAAGCATGAGTGTTGACATTGAAGTGTTTAGATTCACACCGTCCAACAGATGTAAATTCATGCACGAAAATAAAACACATGGAATTTTAAGTATTCTAGTAGCCATATTAAATAACAAAAAGAAACAAGTGAAATTGACTTTAATAATGTGTCCAAAATATAATTTAACATTGGCAATCAATCAAAAAAGATGGAGCTATTTTGCATTCTTTTTTCCGTACCAAGTTTTTGAAATCGGGTGTGCATGTCACACTTGTTGCACGTCTCAGTTCAGACAAGCCACATGTCGAGCGCTCAGAAGCCATGAGAGGCTCCCATGCTGGGCAGCACAGGTTTAGGGGAGTAGATACAAGGAGATGTAATCACCGCTAATACTGTTTTCCCCTCCCCTAGACGGCAAGAAGCTGCCGGGGCCTCAGTGGCTGGACTGTGACTGTGACCTAGCTGTGATCGAGGACTGGGTGTTCAGGGTCCACCTGGTGGCCACATTCCTGAGTGTGGTCATCCACAGAGGCTTTCTCCTGCACTTCTCCCTCGATCTACCCACTCTGGTCCCCCAGCGTGAGGTTGACCGGGGCCAGGAGTTTGAGAGTGTCCTGGACGTGCTGTCGGTCATCTATGTCAACTCCCACCTGCCCAGGGAGCGGCAGCACCGCTGGCGCCTGCTCTTCTCGTCCAAGCTGCACGGGCACAGCTTCGCGCAGCTCTGCGGGCACATCCCACACCGGGGGCCCTGCGTGCTGCTCCTCGAGGACCGCGATGGCCATGTCTTCGGTGGCTTTGCCTCCTGCTCCTGGGAAGTCAAGCCTCAGTTTCAAGGTAAGACTGACTCGGCCACTGAAACCCAGGGGTAGTGCAGCACTGGTTAGGAGTCCTGGTCAGACGGCTGCGGCGTGGGGACCTCTCGGCCTGGACCAGGGGAGCGAGTGTCAGAAAGGATGGGCACGTTTCCTTCATCATCTCCTCCAAGGGTTTGTCTACACGCGTTGGTGGGGGGACATGAAACATGATGCTGCTTTGTGGTGGATTTCACGGATTGCGTTTTGATTCTGACAGCGGGGCTGGGTGAGCAGGACAGGTATGCTCACCCTGGATGCCAGTTTTCTTAAATGACGCCAGGTCCTGGCTGTGGGAGTGGCGGGGCTGCGGATGCCTCACGCAGGGTTCTTTCAGATGGAATGTTTTCTCTCACGGGACCATCTTCCTTCCCTAGGACCTCCTGCGCCTCTGCTTTGCTGCTCCTGCCGTGGTTTTCGGTTTTGTGGTTTTACTGGAGTTGGGCAGTTTTTGTGGGATCTTCAGTGCAGCGAATGAATAGCTCTAAGCAAATTATTCCCCTTCCTCGGGGAAAACGCTCTGGCAAACATTTTAAAGGACCGTTGTTGAAAACGCCCACGTGCTGGGCAGACTTGGGTGAAACTGCCTCCCCAGGGTCTGCAGTCACTGCCTGTCCCACGGTGTGTGGCCCAGCTGCCCGAGTCTGTGTCTCTCAGTGGGGCTCCTCGGGGCCAGCAGCTGTGACATGGGGGGCTTTTCCTAGTGACTCTGAGAGACCAGGTACCTTCCCGCTCTCACTCCACAGGCCCAGTGAACTCTGGGCAGGGGTTAATACCCTCCCTGGCTGGCTGAGTGGAAGAGGGGCTCCAGGGACCTGAGAGTCAGAAGATGGAGGAGAGGGGCCTCTGGGACGGAGACTGCACTTCCGAACCAGGCAGTCATCGGCTCCCACCCGTTCTGCCTGTGACCCCCCCCCGCCTCCCCTCGCCATCTCGCTCTCAGCAGTGCAGCGCAGCTGCCTTCTCACTGGCCTCTACTTTTAGTCTCGCCCTGCAACCCATTTGCCATATCTGGCTCTTCTGGAAACCCTTTAACAGACCACCCCCCAGCCCTCAGGGTGGTGCACCTCTTATCTCCTTTTCACAACCCACTCCGGTCCCCCTGCCATCCCTGCTCAATCCCACTGAACTTCCTGCAGCTTCCAGAACAGGCTGTACTCCCCTCGTCTCAGGACTTGGCACGTGCTGCTTTCTCCCTCTTCCACCTGTTTGGACAACCAGCTTCTTATTGGGACTCAGCCCAGGGTTGCCTCCTCCAGGAAGCCTTCCCACCCATGTGAGGGCCGTGTGCTCCCTGTGGTCCTCCATCAGGCTGCCCACCTCGGGAATCATCCCTGTCTTTCCCCCCGCTATTCAGAGCGTCTGTCAATGGGGGTGCTGTGTCCAGGTGCAGAGTTGCCATCACTGGAGAGGGTTTAGCAGCGGCAGCAGCCCCTTTGCCTGAGAGGTGTGGATGGAATCCTGAGAGGAAGGTTGGGTACCTCCTTCCTGGAGATCCTGTTATTTCTAGGATTTTATTTTCTCTCAGTTATAGAATGTTCCAGATCTTAAATGCAGTTGCTGCTACCAGCTCTTTCAGAGGACCGCTGGGTCAGAGGTCCCCAAGACTACCCACACACCAGTGACTCACTAGCAGCACTCATGGACCCGCCCTAAAGCTGCGCTCACAGCCATGGCTTATTTCCATGAGAGGATGCAGAGTGGGACCAGCACAGGGAACAGCGTGTGGGGTGTAGTTGTGGGGTTCCAGGCACTGGCTCCCAGAGTCCCCTCCCAGGGGGGTCACACAGGACGTGCCGACCCCCCAGCAACAAGCTGTGATGACAACGTGAAGTGCTGTCCAGCAGAGAAGCTCAGTAGGGACTCGGCGCCCAGGGTGTTGTTGGGGCCGGTCACATGAGCACCCTCTGCTGGTCTCGTCCCAACGCCCCGGACTCCCGGGGGAAACAGGCGTTCAGCACAGTCCCTCTGTTTGCACAAACAGTTTGGGCACAAGGAGCCATTCCGATCAGTTCTGGGGGTGGTGGGGACCCTCCTGAAATCCGAGCTCCCCGACGCCAGCCGAGGGCCAGCCTTGGAAGCAGGCCTTCCTGGGGCCCACGGTCTCAGGCCAGCAGGAGCCCCACACTGCACACCCACCTTCCTTTGCCACAGCCTCCCAGGGAGTGGCACATCCTCCCTGCAGCAGTGCTGCTTCGAGGCTTATGGGAGTGACAGTGGCCCTTTCTCTGTGTGGTTGGAGGCTGTGCTTTAAAAACAGGAAGAAACCCCCTGGAATCGTTTTTACAGACAAAACATTCGCTTCTTCCAACTCCTTTAATATTAACTCCAGGTTAGCACCGAAGGGCCTAATGTTTTATTAACACGCAGAATTCCTCTTCCTGAAGAACCGCGGAAAAAATGCAATTAGCGAGTTTCCCAACTTGGGTTCATTCTGTTCTGAAATACGGGGCTGGAGCTCCAGCAGAGGGCAGCCTTGCACCAGAGTCGGGTCAAAACCAGACTGCGCTCTTGTCCATTTGTTTTGGAAACAATCCCTTCTGTTTGAGACTTGAAGTGGAGTGACCGATACAGGGTCACTTCAGTTTTACTCTGTCTTCTGTGGTGCAGATGACAAGCCTGTGGCTTTGGACTGAGCACGGAGCCTCAACAGTCCAGCTCTGGTCCCGGGCAGGGGCAGGGGGCAGGGGGCTGAGTCCTGTGGGCCTCGGCTCCTGGAATCGTGGGAAAGCGGCGTGTAAACTGTGTCCCAGTGGGGGTGTCCAGTATCGCTGTTGTGAGCATTAGATGGGAGCCTCACTGTTGGTGTGTTGTTTTTGCAGGTAATACTGACTCCATGGGTCCTCATCATCACCCTGTCCTAGAAAGACTTCCCCCCACTCGGCCTCCCTGCTGAGGGCCGGCCTCCTGATGGCCTAGAGTGGGGTCCTTGGCAGCTGAGGGGCCTCTGCTCTGTGGCCCCATCACCTTGCTTAGTGTTGGGACCGAGTTATACATTGGCTGAAAGACAGCCTTGGGGTTGCAAAGCAGAGTGATGCCATGCCCAGCACTGGGGGCAGCAGGGTGGGACCAGATAGCTCGTTGCTTTTAAAATCCTGCAGTGACCGCCGGCCTGCTTGCTCCTTAGTTAAGGGGGCACCCGCCTTTCCTGACTGGGATGCATCCTTCTGATGGACAGTGGGCAGACTCCCCATCTGTGCTTCTCTGGTGAGAGTGAAAAAATGTTCCCAGCAAGCTGATGTCGTTTTATTTTTAGTTGTCACTCTCACCCTCGAGCCCTCAGCTCATCCTCTGGGGCCCTGTCTTCTGTGCGGCCTGGGAGCGGCCCACGGGTCTGCAGTGGCTGAGCCCCCGGGTGTGTGTGAGCTCAGGGCACATCTGGAGACCCATGTGATGGCCCTCACTGCTGTGCCTTCACAGCGGTGGCTTGTTTGCACTCCTTGCCTCTGTCCGTGGGCTTAGGTCGGCGATCCTGCTCATTTGTGCTCTGGTCACTTTCAGGGGACAACAGATGCTTCCTGTTCTCCATCCTGCCCAGCATGGCTGTGTACACTTGCACGGGCTACAACGACCACTACATGTACCTGAATCAGGGGCAGCAGACCATCCCAAATGGACTGGTGAGGACTGGGGAAGAGCCGGGCCTCCCGCCTGCTGGTGTCCATCCCGGTGGTGTGCCCAGGCGGACACTTCCCGACATTTCGGGGCACTGCATGCATTTGGTCATGTGGGCATGCCGCGTTCCCTTCACGCTGCCCGGGTTTCCCAACTAGGACAGAATTTGTCTTGTGGAAGGACGGAGTCTGTTGGGGTGTTTTGGTGCTTTGTGTGCATGTGGTGGATTTGACCAGTTTTCCTTGTAGTCAGATGGTTGGCCTATGGCCTTCATTGCTGGACATGGCATCAGTGTCAGACCTGTCACCAGGCCCTGCTGCCCTGCCACTTGCCTGGATGAGGAGCTGGGGGAGGGGCAGGCCCAGGGCTAGATGCCCTGGACCCATGGGGAGCTGTCAACAGTGACTCACAAAACAGGGTGCAGAGCTCCAGTTGGGGTGGCCATACTTCCTATTTGCTCTGTGCTCTGGCTTGGAGACAGCTGCAGGAAGAGGAGGATGAGGGTGAAAGCTAAGGGAAGGCAGAGGGGCTGGGGTGGGCTGGGGGGCAGGTTGAGGTGAGGGGCCGTGCCAGGTGCCCATGTATATACACACCAGCCCGGCATCTGCAAGCCAGCTAAGTGTGGGTGGAAAATGGGTCTCTTGCCAGCACTGCAGCCAGCTTTTTTTCTCTGCTTCTTAACAAAACACTCCTTTTGGGAGCTTCCAGCCCTGTGCTTATAGTGCCAGGGGCCAGGAAGGCTGGTCCCTTTTGGCAGGATGGAGAGTGCCCCTTGTGCTCCTTTCCAGGCTTGTGCTTGCCTCCCACGGAGCCACCTGGGGGCCCCCCAGACACCTCCCAGAAAGGGCAGTTTGGTGACTACAGCGGCAAGGGCTTTGGCCTCAGGAGCAGCACCCAGCAGGTCCCCAGGAATCGACAATAATTAGTCCAAGGGAGAGAAGCAGCTCTGAGAATCGATTGTATTTTCTTGCTTTGGTCTGTTGCTCAAAAGTAGTTCCGGGTCATCAGGGACACAAGGAGGCACCCAGACAAGTGATCGGGGAGGAGCAGCAGCAGTTCTGCTCTCATTGTCGTGAGCGTAGAGCCAGCAGTGTGGTGGGAGGTGGCAGGACAGCCCTGCAGCACCACCGCTCTGCTTCCTGTTTCCTCTCCTTGCAGCTGACATACTGAGAGAGTGCCCTGGCCTCTGTGGGGCGAGTGTCCCTGCCTGCAGGGCCTCTGTCACCGAGTTCTCTGGGCCCCGAGGGTGCGCCTTCTCTGTCCTCTGCTGTCAGCCAGCGCAGCCCCATGAGGAAGAGCCCTGAACTGGGAGTCCGGACTCCTCAGTGATTACTCCAATAACTTGTAATGGGATATGTACCAATCTATATATTTCAGTTAAAAGAAGAAAATTACATTCACTTCTCATCCACCCTCCCTTCAGACTGGTACCTGGGGCTGATGTGGGCTTGGAGGCTGACATTCAGGCCGAGGAGGTGCTGATGGCCTTCCCTTCGCAGGGCATGGGTGGGCAGCATAATTACTTTGGGCTGTGGATTGACGTTGACTTTGGGAGAGGACACAGCAAGGCCAAGCCCACCTGTACCACGTACAACAGCCCTCAGCTGTCAGCTCAAGAGGACTTCCGGTTTGAGAAGATGGAGGTGTGGGCGGTTGGAGACCCCTCCCAGACAGAGCTGGTGAGCGTGGGGGGCGTTTTTCCACTTTCTTGGCTTTACCCCTTTTACTGGGTGGAAGCATCTAGAGACAGTTCATTCTGAATTTGTTTCCATCAGCTCTCATTTTCAGTGGACACTTTCAGCTGGCCAGAGAGATGCCAGTGGGTGCACAGCAGAGTCCTGTTAGGGTGTGTGGGGTGGGAAAGGGGGTGGGGATTAGCAGAATGAACCACCAGGGAAGTGGGGCCTGCCCAATGTGGGAACTTGGGTGGGTGGGTGGCCTGATTCGTAAGATGTACCAATCTATATATTTCAGTTAAAAGAAGAAAATTACATTCACTTCTCATCCACCCTCCCTTCAGACTGGTACCTGGGGCTGATGTGGGCTTGGAGGGTCTGTGGTTCTGCAGTGAGTCATCGTTGGGCGTTCTGCACCTTGTCACCTCCCTAGGGTGGTGTGCCAGGGTAGGGGAGTGTCAGTGAGGGAGCCAGAGACCCCACCACATTTCCTAGTGGCTCCAATGGGATATTGATCCACTCTAGTAAGCTTGAAACCAGCATGGCGTCACTGCCTGTTCTGCACTGCATGTCACTGGTCACTGAACTCACCCGCTCCCCTTTTCCCAAGGCCGCCCAGAGCAAGAGTGTTCTCGATGGGAACATTGAGGCCCAGGTCCTGCTGCATATCACTGGGCACACTCGCCACAGCGACGGGCTCCGGGAAATCCCCGACCAGGAGTGAGGAGGAGACCGGAGCACGAACCCCTGGACGAGAGCACACAGCTTGCCCACCTTGTCCCCGTCCTGTGCACGCCCGGTTTTGACGCAGAGCTGCGCTAGCCACGTCCAGGTTGTCCTGGACGTGCTCAGTCGGGACAATAAAATTTCTCTGATGATTAGTGGGTATATGTCCCAGGTAACCCGAGTGTCAAATCAGTAGCTTAGCTCTTTTATACTCTGTTAATTTAGACCACTGAGATGCAAGGACACTGAGACGTTTGGGGTCTCTGGTGGAGTCAGCATTTCATGGGCAAGTGAGTGCTGTGTGTAGGGGGTTCCCTCGCTGGGGGTCTCTCAGCCTCTGGCCAGGCCTCCCCAGTTAAAGTGCCTTGACTTCCATTTGGACTGGTGAGGGGCAGAGGCGTTTGAATGGGAATCTCAATGTTTTTCAATGTGTTAATAGGGGGAAATAGTCCAAGATTTTGGAGATAACAGTGGCATTGGTCTTCACTAGGTGTTTATGATAAGGGTCCCTATCTGCCTTCTTAGCTGCTTCTAAAGGAGTATGTGCCATGAGCGAATGGGAAAATGAGGAGACAGAGGCCAAGTTGGGTTTCTGTTGCTGATCTGGTGTGGGGGACGTCTGGAGGCCCCTGTGTGGCCCGTCGCATGCGTTAGTGGTGAGGGGCTTGCAGCACTGTCCTGGGCTCTGGGCCTCCAGACACGCCCCTGCCAGGACCGGCTCCCTGCTCCTCTCCGCTCCCACGGGGAGGGCTGGCAGTTCCACGGTTTGGGCTTGATTGAAACACACCCCAGAGCTCCTGCCATGTTAGCAACCGCTTAGGTGGGCTGGGCTTCCGAGCAGAACTGCCACCTCCCAGGCCTGGAAGAGCTGTGTAAACACACTGTGCGAATCCCTTCCTTCAAGGAGCTGGGGGTTCCTCCCTCAGACATATACCTCATCCTCCTGTCTTTTGCTATGCACTTGGACCTTTTATTACAGAGTTTACCCTGATTATAAGCCATAGCAAACTGAACTGTCTGCATTTTGAAGGTTTTGCATTTTCTACCAGGAGGCTCATCAACCTTTGCACTTAGCAGTGCCCTTGACTGAGCAGAGGGACCCTGCAAAGTAGCCTTCACAAGGAAAGCGCACACTCAGGCAGTGCGTGGAGGGTGTGCGGGGGCAGTAGCGTGACACACACAGATTTGGTCATGGTTGATTTTCCTTGTGAAAAGCCAGTTTTGCCCTGGCTGGTGTGACTCGGTTGGGTCTTGTCCTGAGAACGAGAAGGCCACCAGTTCGATTTCCAGTCAGGGCTCATACAAGAGGCATTTGTCAATTTTGCTCACATTGATGTTTCCCTTTTCTCTCTCTCTCTCTTAAAAAAAAGAGGGGCCAGATTATAAAGCTTCTCGAGGATATTATGTGGCTTCTTAACTGGGGTAGCAGTTATAAGATTTGGGGATCCTCAGATATTCTTACCATAAATCTGAAGGACTGGGTCTTGAATCTTCAGTTTGTTGTGGAATTAAAAAAAATTAAATAAATGCAGTTAAATACCTCACTAATAAAAGGTCCATTGGCGTCTGTACCCTGAGCGCCCTTTACTGCTGCCTCTGCCTGTGGCCATCAGAGGAGCTTCGGTTTTGTCTAGGCGTGTGTTTTCTGCCTCGCCCTTGTTCTCACAAGAGTACAGATCACAAATGGGCACAGGTTTCCAAGGACTTACACTTGCGCACTTACACGGGTAGGAGGGTGCCCAGTCCAGGTGCTTGGGAACCTGGGGGTGCTGCCCTTGTGGTGGGCCTGCCGTTCTGGGCGCACAAACCCCTAGGGCCCCAGTTATGGTCGGGCCACTGGCCTGCCCCACCGGGCCCCGCCTGGGACCAGGAGACCTGCGATGCTCATTTTAACAAACGTTCTTTTATAGGACAGGAATAACAGTTCACACTGGAAGGACCAGCGGTCTCCCCATAAGTGAAGACTGGTCAGCACCCAAAAAGGTGCTAGAAGGAAGAGGTGCAAAAATGCAGCTCCTGATACAAACATGGCTGTTATTTTCCCCTACAATATTTTTTAATGAAAAAAATTACTATATGTGTACATGGCAAAAAAAAAAAAGGTAAAAATATAAGGATGTAATTTGAAAGGGAAATCCTCCCCCCTGCCCCCCCCCCCCCCCCCCCAGCATTTCCTTCCCAAGAGGCAAAGTGCTCCTGACGAAGCCACATAGGTCTCCTTCCGAGGTAACTCTGCACAGTCGGCCTGTGTTTTACACTCTGGTGTGTCTCTCACTTCTTACTGGGGGAGATGGCTCCATATTCACCCGTCTGTCTCCCTCCGTTTTCATCGACTGTGTGACGTCCCATTACACAGAAGCACCGTCATTTCTAGTGTTCAGCCATCCCCGAGTGCGGAACATTTTGGTCGCAGCTGACTGGCCGTGGTAAGTATCCTGTGTATCTTGGTGTGATGTTTGTCTGGAGGATGAACCCTTAGAGGCTGAGTTGTTGGATCAAAAGGTGCATGAATTTCTATTGAGATATTGACAGGTTAGCCTTTTGAGCTCAATTTATACTTTTAACATACTAGAGTGCTTGTCGGCTGTATTTTCACCCACACTATTTAAATTTGGGTTTTGTTTACCTAATAACATGAAAACTGTAACTTTGTTTTGTTTCTTTTATGCATGATAGTGAACAGCTTCATTTCTCAGAAGCCAGCTTTATCGTATCCTTCACCTAGTTTTCTAGAGTATGGGTCTTTCTAACTGATTTACAAGAGTGCTTTTTCTGAATGAGGCAAGTCAGCATTTGATGTGTATGGCAAATATTTTTCCAGTTTGTTCAACATTATTTTTCTTCACATAAATTTTGCATTTTATGCCATCATATTTGCCAGCATTTCTAAGCTTTTCTCTACTTTGAGATAAAAAAGTCCCTGTTTTCTTTTACTTCTGTGCTTCCTATTTTTACAACATACATCTTCAAACCATTCAAAATGTATTTTAAAATGCACTTCTATCTTACCCCAAAGTAAATTTCAGTACCTTTCATATTAAATGGTATGTCTCTTTCCCACTGACTTAAAGTGCTACTTCTTCATTAACTGAATGTCTGAATGAACTTAGATTGCTGTTTCATATTTTAATTACTGGAATTTGGGGGTAAAAAGATGTAAGAGCTATTCCCCTGTAATGACTGTTTTTCAGAATTTTCCGTCATATACTTGCCTGCTTATTTCTTGTCACCTTTGGGAGCATTTTGTCTGCTTCTAAAAAGTTTGGGAGTAGCATTTTCGAGATAGCATTAAATATAGATTATGGAGGCAGAACTGACTGCTGGCTAAAAATTTATGATTCTTGCTGTCCAAGAACAGATTGCTACGTAAATTTTTGTTGTCGTTGCTGGCACTATAAGTGGACCTTTTTCTTCCCCCCTAAAATAATTGATTGAACATAGAAAAGCTCTTGAATTTCCTGTATGTTTTCATCCCGTTGCCTTGCTGAATTCTTTCATCCACTGGCTCTCAGTCCTGATCCTGCATCGGGGCCATCTGGAGGACGACCTCCACTACAGGCTGTGAGGCTCCTCGTCTGGAGTTTGATTCAGTACGTCTGGGAGGGAGGGACCCAGGAGTTTATATTTCTGATCAAGCTCCCAGGTCATGCTGATGCTTCTGGTCCCGGGACCTCGCACTGAGAACCGCTGCTGTTTACTGTTCTCGATTGTCTATGATTCCCTGGCAGTGTGCAGGTGGTATCATTTTTTTTTTGTCTGAAATCTTTATCTTTGCCTTCCTTTCTGAACCACTGTTTTTGTTCTGCTTTTTGAAAGCTATTTCAACATCTTTTTCCCCAACCACTTTAAAGCTGTTCTGCTGTGTTTCAGTCTGCAGGATTTCTGTTTCTTTTTTTTCTCAGCTTTACTGAGATGTAATTGACATAGACTGTTGTGGAAGCTTAAGGTATGTGACGTGTGATTGCAGGTAATACGATTGCATACCCGGAAATAAAGGTAATTTCCCCAGCCTTCCGATTTCCAGACCTCTTTTGGTATATAAACAGGACAACACTCCAACCAGCTGAGGCACCCAGCCAGGGCCGATTTCTAGACCTCTTATTCCTTTTTCTTGGTTAATAGTATCCGCAAATATTTTTGAGAACTTTTTAAAAAAATTTAAAAAGAGATTTTACATATACTTTTAGAGGGAAGGGAAGCAAGGGAGAAAGAGGGAACAAAACATCGTCGATGTGCAATTGGTTGCCTCTCGCACTTCCCCAGCTGGGGACCTGGCCTGCAACCCAGGCATGTGCCCTGACTGGGAATTGAACCGGTGACCTTTCGGTTTGCAGGCTAGTACTCAAACCACTGAGCCACACCAGCCAGAGCTATTTTTGAGAACTTTAAAACTATAATACATCCTTTTTATTTCTGACCGTAATGGAAATGCATCTAGTCTCTTATCATTAAGCATGACACTGGCTGTGTGGACATATTTCACATATGTAAGTATTTTCATGTAAAGGAAGTACCCATTTGTGTTTATGTTATTAAAAGTTTTCTATCAGGAGTAGTTGTTGAATTTTAGAAAAAGTTTTTAGCATCCACAATTTTCTCTTTTAGAGTTATCACAAGCAATAGGGCCCCAAACACTGAGCCGCGAGCGTGTTCTAACTGCCGCCTTCCCGGTGTGCTAGTCAGCGGCCGGTGTGGGCACTGTTGCAGCGACGAGTGTAAGTGGGTTGGTGGTTTCTAGTTCTGTGTTCTGTGTTGGTCAGATTTTGTGACAGTCATGCTTTAGTTTTAAAGTTCTGCTAGCTTTACAAAAATAATTCAGGACCTCTCCCTTCTCCAGGTTCTAGAAAATGCAAATGAAAGACATTCTTAAAGTTTGGATAAAGTTCACCTGGTACATTTTGATTTGGTAGGTGAGGACGGGGTTAACTTTTGATGACCTTATTTATTTGTTTTATCATCTGGGTTGTTTTAAATCAATACTGGGATCAATTTTGATAATTTTTATATCTCCTTCCTAAATTTCCATTTTATTTAAGTCTTCAAATTCATATAAGATTGACTAAAATATTTGAAATCTTTTGTGGATTTTTTCCCATTTATTTATTTTTAGAAAGAGGGGAGGGGAGGGACAAAAAGAGGGAGAGAAACATTAATGTGTGGTTGCCTCTTACGCCCCCTATAGGGACCTGGCCCACAACCCAGGCATGTCCCCTGACTGGGAATTGAACCAGTGACCCTTTGGTTCATAGGCTGGTGCTCAATCCATTGAACCATACCAGCTAGGGCCTTTTGTGGGTTTTGTCTTTTGTTTTCTTTTCATTTTTCCTAGATTATGTTTTACCAATTTTTAAAATTAATTTTGTTTTCATATTTCTTCCTAATTATGCTTATTTTTGTCAATGTTAAACTTAAAATTTCAACTGCTCATTGCTAGTATATAGAAATACAGGTGATTTGTTTTAACCTTGTATCTTATGGCTTTACTACACTCACTTATTTGTTTGACAAAGATTTTTGTTTAGGTTCCTTGGGATTTTCAACATAAACCATATTGTCATCTGTGAATAGAATCAGTTTTATTTTCTCCTATCCATTCTCTTTTTTGTGCCTTTTATTTTTTCTTTTCTTGACATATTGCACTGGCTAGGAATACCACTACTATGTTGCATAGGAGGGGTGATGCTGTACATCCTTATTTTGTTCCTAATCTTATGGGGAAAGCATTCAGTCTGTCAGCATTCAGTGTGATGTTAGCTGTGGGGTTGTTTTTGTTTCGTAGATGCTCTTTATCAGGTTGAGGATGTTCTGTTTGTAGTTTGCTAAGAGTTTTTCATCATGAACGGGGTTTGAATCTTATCAAATACTTTTTCTGCTTCAGTTAATATGACCATGTGGTTTTCCTTTCTTAGACTGTTAATATGGTGGATGACATTGATTTTTGAATATTGAACTGGTCTTCTGTTCTTGGATTAACCCCACTAGGGCTAATGGGTCTTGTACTCTTTGCATGTGGCTGGATCCAATTTGCTGTTTCACTGAGGATTCTTGCATTTGTGTTTATGAGGTATGTTGGTCTGTAGTGCTGTTTTTATCTAATTTGGGTATCTTAAATGTTTAGTAAAATCTACCAGTGAAACCAGATTTCCTTTTTGGGGAAGAGTTTTAAATACAACTTCAGTGTCTTTTACTGGTTATAGAACTTCTCAAATTATTTCATCTTCAGTGAGTTTTGGTAGTTTCTGGTTTTCAACGAATTAGTTTATTTCTTCTAACTTGTTGAATTTAGTATTGCCTTATTGTTGGAATATTTTGAGGGGTTTATAATGATAAACTATCTTTCATTGCTAGTATTGGTA